ATCCGCTCCTCATGCTTGCCTGCCAAGGGGTTCCAGAGTCTTCTCATGGGTCCCAGTACGTGTCATCACATTGCTGCTGTACTACCATCGCCAACCACTCTGCCATTGTGCCCACTTTCAAGGTCTCCTTTCACACACCAGCTGGTAGTGTAGAATCTTTTGGATAATCATCAGGGTGTCGCTGGCAGATATATGGGCCTCCACATAAGCTGCTGCCAGGCCCCTAATCTGCCATGGGGCCCCTATATACCGCTCCTCCTCATGCTTGCTGCCAAAGTCCAGAGTCTCTCATGGGTCCCTATACGGCCTCCCATTGCTGCTGTCTCCATCGCCACACTCTGCCATTGTGCCACTTTCAGGTCTCCTGGTCGCAGCAGTGTCAGTGGAGGCAAACGGCCACGGAGTAGAGCACCAGCTCCACTGCAGCCTACCACCACGGCCAGTAGTGGTGCCGGTGTGCACGGAGGAAGTAGCAGTCAGCCAGTGAGGAGTAGAGGAGGCAAAGTTTCCTACTCTGCGGTGTGGCAATTTTTCGTCAAGCCGCCCGAGGAAGTAAACGTAGCCGTATGTCGACTATGTGGCCAGAAAGTCAAGCGTGGCCAGGGGGCCCATGTTGGGACTACAGCGTTGCGTCAGCATATGCAGCGTCGCCATTCGGTGGCCTGGGAAAACCGTGATAAAGATACGGCGGTTCTGCCTGCCCCAGCCCAGGGTTCCATTTTGTCATAGGGTGCTGGCAGATTACAGGCCTCCCATAGGTGCTGCCAGGCCCCAAATCTGCCATGGACCCCCGTACCGCCTGGTCACGCTGCTGCTGGGCCCACAGTGTGACCTGGGTCCCTGTACCGCCTCCCATTGCTCCCACTCTGCCATGTGCCACTTTCAGGTCTCCTCACACTCCTGCTGGTTTCCATTTTGTCATAGGTTGCTGTATGGCCTCCCATTGCTGCTGCCTCCACCGCCACACTGTGGCTCCAAACACTGGTTTTGGCCCCGTGACTGGCCAAATGAGTGAAGTGTGCGGTGATTCTAAGATCGACGGCACTCATCTGCATGTCATACTGAGTGACAGTATTATTTTCTCTTCCCCAGCAGACTCCAAGGGCATTTAAATTAAAGGTACAGTGTTCTGCACTAATATTAAGTCTCTCTGAAGCCTAGAAAACACCCTTTTTTAAGTTAAATTCACAGCGAATTTATTCGACTCGAATCGAATATTGTCCACGAATTCGCCGAATCAGTCGAATCGAATTTTTCATTTCTTCGCTCATCTCTAATTATTATTATATAGTGTTTATATAGCGCCAATAGGTTTGCTCAGCGCTGTACAATAAAGTGGGGGGACAGTACATGATACAATACAGTAACAATACAATACACGAGGGGTTCAAGGGCCCTGCTCTTTCGAGCTTACAATCTAGGAGAAGTCGATTGGATACCATGCACCAGATTTTGCACTCTCCAAATTTAGCAAATCAACCTCACAATGTTTTAGCAAATAATGTAATCAATTTAGGATTTACATCTATTTTAAAGTGAGCTGATCATTAGATATATAGTATTTTTTCAAGTCAAGTTGCCAGACAAGACATTCATCTGATTTCCTCGCCAGAACCAAGCCATAAACAGTTGATCAGATTACTTGGATAGAGAAAACTGAGGAAATGCTTCCCCCTGCAGCAAACTGATGATATCATCCCAGCCTGGGCAATGACACTTTGGTGGATTTTAAGGAATGCTTTTTAGGGCCCATTCACACTAGTCATGTGTGTTAAAGAATGCCTAACACATTCCTGTTAATGTGTGTTATGTCACCCATTAGTGTGTTGTCACACTTCAGCTGCAGAGCTGATCTGTTCTACAAACAAGCAAAGATGATCTGTTACTTGTAGTTCTATAAACATGCGGTCTGTTCTTGCCTAGCTGCACAGGACTGGAAGCTATAGGCATCACTGTATCTCACCTGAAGATTACTCCAGCTTGCTTCCTGGCCAGTTACTGTTCAGCCTTCCAAACTACATCTCTATTTAAAGCCTAAGTGAAGCCAAAAAAATTTCAGACTGTTCATTGACCATCAATCATTTAATTTATGAAAATAGTGTAATAAATACTACATTAAATAATAGTACTGTGAATAATAATAATGTTCTTATGAATACTGTTGACACTTCCACTTGATATCAGCAACTGTCATTATGGATGTTACAATGCTAAACTTGCAGTAATTACACAGCAATCTGTTCCTTAGCAATCCTTGCTGCGTTCAAAGCAATCATATGATAATCTGATTATTAGTAAACAGCTTACAGCCGAAATTATTCGAAGGGACAAGAAGGAAATTTTTTCTCATACGATACCTGATAGTACGATTTTCATTTAAACAGTACAGTTTTAATCCGAAAATACAGTATGAATACAGTACAGTACATTATACCGTTTTCAAATTTTTGTTCTGTCGTACAAGAATTTTTGTAACTTTAGTAACCTCTTCACTTTCAATATGAGACTAGCATGCAAAAAAAATATTCTTACCATGTGTACATGGCCTAACAGGACACACCACTAATATAAACAGCTCAAGGCCATGCTTGCTGGCAGCTGACCATCAAGCCCTTGGTAACACTCTCTTTCCACTAGCCACCTCCTAGACAAAAAACTAGTGTTGTGCTCTACAGAGAAGTAAAAAAAGATTAACTCAACCTGCTGTTCTATAATTTATCATCCACCTGTAGCACCCTCCTAATTTAGCTAGGGGGAGCTAGACTCCAATGGTTAGTCAGGAGATGAGTAGTAGCTCAGGTACAATAGTCAAAGGGGTCAAATTGTGCTCAGGGCTGAGAGGCTTTGCAGGCCAGCCCCTCTGGAATTTCCCCCTGCTTTGAGGCCAGATCCCCTGCTCAGGAAACCTTCCAGATTGCTGGGTGAAGAGGAAAATTTAATCTGGGGTCTGGGGTTGTACATCGTGGAGATGCTGGCTAGATCTCCAATAGAGACTGTGCTGCAGAGAAGCTTGTAAACAGTTCCAGGAAGTTTGTCCTCAGTTGTCAGTTCCCTTGGGCATCCTATACCCCCCTTACTCTATCCCAGTTCTAAATCCCCTCAATAAACTACAAAATAAAAGCTCAAGGATGATTTCTGACTTCAAATGCAAGCTTGTGTGGAGAATCCCATTTGCTTGGCTGTGCAGGACTATAGGGGGACCCAAATCACAGCAACCCCTAAGGGGGTAGTGCTACACACTTATTGACCCTCAGATATTTACTGGACCCCTTGCATTTTCCCATCCACCAAAAGGGGTCAGTTCTGACCTAGCTTCAGTTTGTGTGCACATTATTGTTTTTACTCTCCTTTCACATGATCGGGTCCACCCGTCAGTTCTTCAGGCAGACCCGATCAGACCCTACATTCATCTCTACGGAGCCGCAGGTGTAAACGGAGGGTCCAATTAGGTGTCTGCAACCAACAAGTGTCCATTTACACCCACCAACCTCCAATCTGATTCACTAAAAAACGTAAGGGAATCTATCTCCCTCTGTCTAGGCAGATCAGATTGGAGGGCAGTCCAGTGTAAACAGACAGTCGGTCCCATAGAGCAGAGCGGACTATATCTGCGCTGCATAAAATGAGCAAACACAGACATGTCATCCACCCTCTCTGCTCTGCTCAGTGGGAGATCAGCAGCCTGATTCCACCCCGTGTGAAAGGGGATTAAGTATACCCAATCATAGACTGGTCTACAATAAATAACATTAAGCATATAACCATTACAATTTGTAAAATATGCCTTTTAACAAAAAATCACAGCTACTATTCTATTCATTTTTGTTTTTACCTCTATGCTTTGTACTCAGTAGATCACTGTGTGATGCAGTTTCTGGTAGTAGTTTTTTATGATGCTGCCAGCAGATGTCAGAATATGACTTCAAAAAGATCTGATCTTCTATCTTATCTGCCATCTGACATGATTAGTGAGAGCTTTCAATAGGAAATAATTGTACTTAATTATACAGTGTGCACACCATCAGCTTAGCACCAGAACTTTTCTTTCTTCATTCATCCTGCTGTTATAGGTTTACCAGAACAATATACTGAAATGCACTTTTTTTACATATTGTAGTCTTGTGTTTCTCTCTTGACTGTTTATGTATTGAATTCATTTTATAGCCCTCTTCACACTAGTGCATTTCTCCCAGATCTGTTGCTGCACTGCAATGTACGACATTGGAAATCAAATTATTCTCAAATTATTCTCTGTGATGTCCATTACCATCAATGCTACATAGTGAAGTGCAATTTTTGAATACGTTTTTTAACTGTTAGACAGGGTTAATTCGGTTTGTTGCAGGCTGGCTGCTAAGTGAGCTGGGAATTTTTATTTGTTGTTTTTTGACATGCGTGGCCCTTCCATGTGCTCCTTGCTGCAAAGCCCAGTTATAGGTTGGATTGGTTGCCATTTGTTTGTACTGAAGTGAGATTTTTTAAAGGTGCAGGTGTTTCTTTTGCTGCAACATACTATATTTTGACCTCATGGAATTCACTGGGCGTGCATGTACATGCATTTTTAGCGCATACAAATGCTTCAAAAACACATTTGAAAAAACCCTGAATAATGCATGATTACGCAGCAGTGAATCTAAGCTAAGTGCTAACATATTCTGCAGTGCTCTATACGAGTGTTTCTCAACCTTTTCTTAGTCAAGGCATTCTTTAAAATTATGGACAATATCAAGGCACCCTCTAAAATTATGGAGAGTTCCAAGGCACTCTTAAAAATTATGGACCGTCTTGAGGCACCCTTTAAAATTATGGACCGTCTTGAGGCACCCTTTAAAATTATGAACCGTCTTGAGGCTGCCTATTGTAAAATGTAAAACACTATTATAATAGTTTTATGTAACATAGCAACATACATACACATACAACACTCAACATTACAGGTGATTCATGCTTCCAAAGCAAATACACTTGTGCACACTGGTACTGACTAGTATTTCAGTGTTTTTCCTCTCCCTCAGTTTTTCTCCATCACTGAGCTAATGTGACCCCAGCACTGATGGAGAGGGGCAGGGGAGAGTCAAACAGGGATTGTGTGCAGGCAACCGACATCTTCCTTATCAACTGATGATGTCATTGGTTGTCAGGATGCCGGCGGCTAGTAGGTTGTAATGGTGCACAATGAAAACCTGTGGCTTTGTGTAACTAAAAGGCAGGCTTGTTCTACCTGCTGGCTTGATTTCAAGTTTTTGGCAAATTTTAGACATTTTGCCAAGGCTCCCCTGAAGAAACCTCAAGGCACACTGGTTGAAAAAGGCTGCTATATACCATGCATAGACATTGTTAGCTTCACTGGCAGCCAATCAATCTACTAACATTTTTTTTGGCATGCAGAGAAGTCTACAGTACCTGGAGGACAACCACATCGACTTGGGAAAAAACATAGTCTCAATGAAGGTTGTGTTGTTTCAGAAGTATGACTATAATTTCTAAAGTTTGTTGGACTGAGAATAACTCTTACTTTTTAAAAGTGAGCATGTTTATCCTTGGTGGTAGTAGTAGTTAGTCACATTCAACTACACGTGTTCTGTAATGATGAAAATATTTTGCAGCTCATCCAGGCCACTTCTTTAGTTTTAATGGGTAGCAGGGACTTATTCACTTTCTTCAAGCATCCCATCACTGGGTAATGATTAGAGACATTTCCCTGGCTTTGATCTTTATTATTATTATTATAATACAGGGTTGATATAGCGCCAACAGTTTGCTCAGTGCTTTACAATATAAAGGGAGACAATACAGCAACAATACAGTTCAATACAAGAGGGTTAGGGGGACCCTGCTCCTTGGAGCTTACAATCTAAAAGATTGATGTACAAGACAGTGTGTGTATATTAGAGAGAATCAGAGTGCATATATAGCCCAAAGGCATAACTAGAGCCTTCAGGGGAAGCATAACTAGAATCTTCAGGCCCCCCCCCCATGTACAAAAAAACATAAAGGCCTCCTCTGACCCAAGCCAGGGGCTCTACCCTCCAAGCCCGGAGCCTTTCCCACTGATCCTGGGGCCCTTTACTACCATTACAGGGCCCTTTATTATGGTCCAGCAATAGGACCCTTTCACATGTTCTGTAGCGGATCCCCTTCCT